TTAAAATTTGAAACGTAAAACTTACTGATTAAAATTATATTTTATTCATACTTATTATATTTGAATTGTATTAAAGAATATTTATTAAATTTGATTAATTGTATTTAAAATTTTTTATTAGAATTGATGTTTATATTATGTTATAAATGGCAACGTAAATATTTATACTATAAATTGCCTTAAATTATAATTTATTAAAATTAACTACAACATTTTTCAAAATCTATGAATTAAAATTATATCTGATTTATACTTATTATGAAATACAATTAAGAAGAATTTATGGTTATATTATATACATTGAATTAAAAAATTACACTTATAATATTATTACTTTATATTATATATTGTAAGTTAAATTTTTCATAAATTCTTTTTACATATTTAAATTATTTTATTAATTAGTTTAATTTAATTTATATTTCAATATTTACTTCAAATATTAAAATATAATGTAAATAAAAAATACATTTATAAAATTATTACTTTATATTATATATTATTAAATTAAACTTCTAATGAAAAGGCAAGTTTACATATTTAAATTATTTTAGTAATTATTTTAATATAATATGTAATTCAATATATATCTCAAAAATTAAAATATTTATAAAATTATTAGTTTATAATATTATTGTTAAATTACATTTCTAATGAAAAGGTAAATTTACATATTTAAATAATCTTATTAATTAGTTTTATATAATATATAGTTTCATATATATTTCAAAAATCAAAATATACGTTGAATGTGAATTATTGTTTTATATTATATATTATATTATTAGAGTAAATTTTAAAAGAAAAAATAATTTTTATTACATTAGTTTTTTATTTTCTGACTTTTCATATATCTTAAAGAAAGACTTTTTCTCTACTTATATAAGTCATATTTACATAACTTTTAAAAACTTGTTCACCTTCTATTGTTATATTTTTTCTTTGTATTTTGCAACAATGTTAGCAGTTAAAAATTACCTATCCACATAAGTACATGTATTTTTAAGTTTGATATTTTTTATTTTGTTTCATTAAATTGTGTTATATATTTTAATTTTTTTAAATAAGCATAAAGTATTATTTTTAAATTATATAATATATTGAATCTTTTTTTTAATTGATTAATTTGTATTAAATCTCTTATTATTTTCTTATATTCATCACAAGTAATTATTTATTTTTATATTTCCATGATGTTGTAAGAGAACGACAAGTTTCAATGAAGATAAATAAATTTTTCTTAATGATTTGAATTCAACAATAGATGAATGAAAAATAAAAGTGTGAATATCACGACTGTGATATTTAATTATAAAAAATATGAATGTATGTATTATATGTAATATTTATATTTTCACATCAAGATCAATAAAGAATTATGTCAATATTGACATACCAGAAGTTATTCATTTTATAAATTCATTCAAGTATTGAAATTATTTAAAATCTCTCTATTACATTAATTATTGCTAATTGTTTACTTTTTATTTTAACTACATTTTCAATTATTTATTATCACTTTGTTGAAAAGATTTTAATTATATGCATATTGCTCACAATGCTGATAATACAAGATCTACTATTTTTTCTAAGTTAGAAAATTTCAAAAACATATCTGAAATCTTGACAATGGCAAAATCAAAGAGTGATATAGTAAATTTAATCTCTCTTATACTTTATTCTTCTTGTTTAAGTTTTAAACTAATTTTTTAATTAATTTTCAAAATATCGTAATTGGTTATATTATAAATGTGAACGATGTAATACTTAAAAATGGTTAGTATTATATTTCTTGCTCTCATTACAAGAAGAAAGTTTCTTTCACAACTACAAATTTTAAATGTGAATAATGTTATAAAGACGCAGAGTATCCAATGACAAGGTAATTAATTTATCATTATGTATTCTAATTTTTAAATTTTCATATTAAAATAAATTAAATTATATATTATTACCTAAATTTATATACATTACAGGTTTCGTCTTGAGCTAATGTTAAAGATTTTATAGATTCAACTATATTTGTCTTATTTGATGAAGTTGTTGAACAATTGGCACAAGTAAAGTTAATAAATCTTATTGCAAGATCTGAAATTGTAAGCAAATGTGTTAGTTTCTAACTTCTTATAAATAAAATATATTAAAACATATAACTATTTTTATGTGATAATTTTTTTAAAGGTAACGGTGAAGTGTTAAAGTTACCTCCACAACTTTTAAAGATTATTGACACTTCACATATTGTTCAAATAAAATGAGTAACTACTTTGAAAGTCGTAAAAAATAAAGTTTTATTGCAAATAAAATTATAAAGTCGATAGTGAAGGTAATATAGAAAATTAAATTAGAGTTTCATTACTTTCATTTATAATGTTTATAATACAATGATAAATAACTTTATTTTCATTATTTATATTTACATATTGAAAAGGAAGAAGGAGTAGACAATATAAATGCAAAAATAAAAAAAAATGATTTGGCAATAAGTTAGAGTAGACAATATAAATGCAAAAATAAAAGAAAATGATTTGGCAATAAGTTATTCACATATATCTCTAACCATAGAAATACCAAATTTACCAAAAAAATGAGAAAATTAATATATAAATTATAAATTTATAATGTATTGTTCAAATTTCTTAGATTAATAATTTATATTTGATATTTTCTTTTAGGTTGTAACTTAAGGAAGACGAAGCAAACAATTGTAAATAAAAGACAACAATAGAGGATTTAGAAGATTGAACCATTTTTATTGCAGTATTATATAAATACTTTTAATATTGTGTAAAGTCTGAAAAGTAAAATGTCACCAAATATTTAAGTCTTTTATAAGATAATTTTGTTATTTTATTATATATATCTCTCTTATTTTATTATTATATATATTATGTATTAACTTTATTCTTTGACAAATCTTATATGTGATTTATAAATTTTATATTATATCAACATCTATAAATTTAATTGATATAAAAATTAGTTTTTATATATATCTATATGTAAAATTGAATTTAATTGATATAAAGATTAATTTAATTGATTCATAACACAAATCTATATCTATATGTAAAATTAATATTTGTTCTTTTAATAAATCTTTTAAAATATTATTTTATTATTAAAATAGTTTATAGATATATTTATTTTTATTAATTCTTAATTAAAATAATAAATAATAAATAAACTGTATTAATTATTTTTAAAAATTAAAAAATAATTATATAACAAAAATTAATAAATTTATTATTTTAATTTTATAATTCAAATAACATAGTTTTATTATACTTAATTTATTATTAGATAAAATTAATTTATTTATAATGTCAATCAATATTAATTCTATTAAATTATAAAAAAATATAAAATAATTTAATCATTTAAAAAAAATTCAATTCCACATTTTTTTTATCAAAAAGTAAATTTTCAAATTCAGTATATATATTATATGATTATTAATTTTATTTATTTTTGTATGATAATTTTATTTATATATAAAAAGTTTAATATATTTTTATTTTTAAATACTAATATATAGTTTTATGTATATTGATATTTAAAGACGATTTTTAAAAATTATGATATCATGTTTTAATAATTATATAGTAAAATTTTATTAATAATTTTAAATTATAATTATAAATAGATAGTTTCTCTTACAAATTTAATTCAACAAATATAAACAAATATATAAATATAAAATTATAAGACCTTTTATTTAAATTTTATAACATATATTAACAAATTTATTATATTTAATAATTTATTGTTATAATTATTTATTTAAAATTTTATAATCATAAATGATTTATGATATCATGAAACAATATAAATTTTAAAATATGTATAATTTAGTATTTTTTAGCATAAAATAAAATAACATACAAATATTTTATTTTTACATTTTAAAAATAAAATATTTGTATGTTATTTTATTTTATGCTAAAAAATACTAAATTATACATATTTTAAATAAAAATTAATTTTGATAAATAAATTTTTTATTATATTTATATATTTTTTATATTTAAATTATATATTTTATATTTTAAAATAAATTAATTTAATGAAAAAACAAACCGTGCAATGCACGGGCATATTTTCTAGTAATCCTTGTATTAGTAATTACCATCAATTACCTCAAATTTGATAATTATAATTTAGTCTCTCAATATAATTAACCTTTCATGACATATATACTTTTAGCCATAAATTTTATATTGATTAAACTACTTTAATATTTTAGCTAATAAAATAATAGCACTAACACATTTAATTATATAATATATATATATGACCCAAAGTTGCTAACATTAGTCACTTGAAGTATTACAAATTTCAAGCACATATCTTTTTAGTTAATATTATAATTGAAATATTATAAAGATTTAAATGTGTATTTTAATTTAACGATAAAATTAAAATAAAGTTATGCTAAAAATGCCTTTGGCTTCATCTCGATTTGTTTTGTTTCTACGCCAAATTATAACTTGGAGAACCAAAATGATTATGTATCGCCTTCTGTTGAAGAACAATCCGAATGTTTAGCTGTCAAGAACATATATATAGAAGTAAAAAGAAAACGAACCAGTTTTTAAAATTAATCTAAAATTATTTAATATTCCATTTATATACATCAAATTTAACATAGCATATACTTTTAAAACATATAAAATACAATAGTAATTTAATTATTCAATTTCAAAAATAATTTTTATAAACTCAAATTTCATACATGTTTTTTCAAACACGTCAAGTAATTAATTAAGTTGTTAACTAAATTCTAAAATCATTATGTTCTATTCTTCATTTATGTAAAGCCCATCAGCGTTATATCGTGTTTTGGTCATTGCCCATCCGCGTCTTCAAAATCTTTTAAATATTTTTGGTCTTGCATTTTTTGTCCTGGGTACAAAGACGCAAGGCCCAATTCAATTTAGACCTAAAACCCATGGCCCAATAGCTTATCCTTCCTTCTCTTCTAATAGGTTTAGAAAACCCTAGTTTGCTGCAACGCACAAAACTTGAGTGTGTGTGTGTGTGTGGGAGAGAGAAAGAGGCAAGGAATCATGAAGACTATTCTGTCATCGGAGACCATGAACATCCCCGATGGGGTGAGCATCAAGGTCCACGCCAAAGTCATTGAGGTCGAAGGTCCACGTGGCAAGCTCGTTCGTGACTTCAAGCACCTCAACCTCGATTTCCAACTTATCACTGACGAGAACGGGCAGAAGAAGCTGAAGATCGAATCGTGGTTCGGTTCTCGCAAAACCTCCGCCGCGATCCGCACCGCCCTCAGCCACGTCGAGAATCTCATCACCGGCGTCACCAAAGGTTACCGCTACAAGATGCGCTTCGTCTACGCTCACTTTCCTATCAATGCTAGCATCACCAACAACAACTCCTCCATTGAGATCCGAAACTTCCTCGGCGAAAAGAAGGTCCTCTTTCAACGATATTTCAATTTTTATTTTATTTTTATAACTGTTTATTTCATTTTATTTATATTGAAATTGATTCTATTTTAGAAGTTGATGCATTTTCATTTCCTGTTATTATTTTCAGCATTGTGTGTTTTAGCATTGGGTGTATGAAGGAAGTGATTTTTTCGATTCTTATAAAATTGTATAGTTATGATTAGTAGGCGTAGAAAGATAGGATTACTTGCAGGTGATGGAGTGCTTTGTTTTTATTGATTTGGAGTGTGTTTGATTGAGATGTTGTTAGGTGAGGAAAGTGGACATGCTTGAGGGTGTTACTGTTTTGCGATCTGAGAAGGTGAAGGATGAATTGGTTTTGGATGGTAATGACATTGAGCTTGTTTCTCGTTCCTGTGCCCTCATTAACCAGGTATAATTCTCTCAAAGCTTGTCCAATTTTGCCCTTGCTGATTTTGATGGTATTTTGATTTTTTATTCTGTGTGTACAACAGAAATGTCATGTTAAGAACAAAGATATCAGGAAGTTTCTTGATGGTATCTATGTTAGCGAGAAGGGGACAATACTTGAGGAGTAGATGGTGGACAAATAGGAATATTAATGTTAGTTTCAGTTACTCATTTTGCCTGCCTTCTTGAGATTTACAATTTTGTGTTATCAAAATTTTCTTTCCAGAAGATGTTATTTAAACTTCTTATTTACTCTTACTTGCTTTGTTATGGAACATTTTCTTAGATTTGATGTTATTTCACAATCGGGTACCCCAATACTGTTTAATTTGGCTATTTCCCTATCTCCTTTACCTGGCAAATACAAGATAATAATGTTTTGTTTTCTGTTATTTTTAGTGAAAAGTAATGTTAGGCTAAAATGTAGTGTTAAACAATGGACATCCTTGCTAATGGCATAACACAAATCTATTATATTTATAACAGCATTCGACGAAGGTGCACGGTTTGTTGCACAAACTACATAATAAAATAAGTAGAGGGAAACAAGTGACAGCATGAATACTAGGTTGTTTCTGCTGTGCACCACCTTAGAAGCGTTGCATAGGTGCACCATTTGTGAGAGCTGTTGGATAGGGATTTGTGACCATAACCTAATAAATTAGTCAAATTTTTATGTCGTAAATCAATCCAAAAGAATGCTAAAGTTTGTATCTGTTAATATCATTGATCTGCTCTCAAAGCCACACTATACTTATTTTTGGTTGCTATAAAATATCCTCTTGCACTGCTCTTTTGGACCGACCTAGAAGGTTACAGTTGAAAATAAGGGAACGCCGTCTTCTAAGACCACGTTGGCCACCCTCTTAAATCCAGCAAAACTCGAAATCAGTTTACCATTTTGGCAAGTAATAATGGGTGGCAGCAAAAGCAATTCAATCCCAGTTGCCATTCAATCACCGTTGAAGGGGCAACCAGAACTACGGTAGGATAAAATTAAAAAGCGAAAACAACACGAGAGCAATAACTAACGAGTAATAAAAGAGATATATTTTAACAAGAACTTGGTGATCGACAATAGGTAAAAAATGTGATGCGCATGCTTGCTGCAGACATAAGCAGGTTGCATTGTAGAATCATCCTTAAATACTAAACTTTAGATAGGAATTCAGAACACAAGGCCGAACAAAAGTAGTAAAACTTATGGGTAAAATCATTCTACATAATGCTTTTTAATCATAGTACCTAAGAATTTTCTTTTTACAAGTTTGTAAATTTAGTATTTGACTTGATAACATAAATTGATCTATATAGTGTAAAATTAATCACACCTACTTATTACTCTACATTAAATTTTGAAATGTATAAAGTTATTTTTATATATGTGATTTCATTTACTTATTACTCTATATATTAAAATTTAAAACGTATAACTTATAAATTAAAATTATATTTATTCATACTTATTTATCTTTGAATTGTATTTAAAGAATTTTTATTAGAATTGATGAATTGTATTTAAAGAATTAATTCAGAACTTAAAAAGTCACTCATATTAACTGCATCTAATTATTACTCTTTACATTAAAATTTGAAACGTAAAACTTACTGATTAAAATTATATTTTATTTATACTTATTATCTTTGAATTGTATTTAAAGAATTTTTTGTTAGATTTGATGAATTGTATTTAAAATTTTTTTATTAGAATTGATGGTTATATTATGTTATAAATGGTAACGTAAATATTTATACTATAAATTGTCTTAAATTATAATTTATTAAAATTAACTATAATATTTTTAAAATTTTATAAATTAAAATTATATCTGATTTATACTTATTGTAAAATACATTTAAGAAGAATTTATTAGAATTTATGGTTATATTATATACATTGAATTAAAAAATTACACTTATAATATTATTACTTTATATTATATGTTATTAAGTTAAATTTTTCATAAATTCTTTTTACATATTTAAATTATTTTATTAATTAGTTTAATTTAATTTATATTTTAATATTTACTTCAAATACTAAAATATAATGTAAATAAAAAAATACATTTATAAAATTATTACTTTATATTATATATTATTAAATTAAATTTTTAATAAAAAGAGAAGTTTATATATTTAAATTATTTTAGTAATTATTTTAATATAATATATAATTCAATATATATCTTAAAAATTAAAATATTTATAAAATTATTAGTTTATACTATATATTGTTAAATTACATTTCTAATGAAAAGGTAAGTTTACATATTTAAATAATTTTATTAATTAGTTTAATATAATATATAGTTTCATATATATTTCAAAAATCAAAATATACGTTGAATGTGAATTATTGTTTTATATTATATATTATATTATTAGAGTAAATTTTGAAAGAAAAAATAACTTTTATTACATTAATCTTTTATTTTCTGACTTTTCATATATCTTAAAGAAAGACTTTTTCTCTACTTATATAAATCATATTTACATAACTTTTAAAAACTTGTTCACCATTCTTTTTATTGTCATATTTTTTTTTTTGTATTTTGCAACAATGTCAGCAGTTAAAAATTACATATCCACGTAAGTACATGTATTTTTAAGTTTGATATTTTTTATTTTGTTTCATTAAATTGTGTTATATATTTTAAATTTTTTTAAATTTTATAAAGTATTGAATCTTATTTTTAATTGATTAATTTGTATTAAATCTCTTATTATTTTCTTATATTCATCACAAGTAATTATTTATTTTTATATTTTCATGATGTTGTAGGAGAACGACAAGTTTCAATAAAGATAAATGAATTTTTCTTAACGATCTAAATTCAACAATAGATGAATAGAAAATAAAAGTGTGAATATCACGACTGTGATATTTAATTATAAAAAATATGAATGTATGTATTATAGATAATATTTATATTTCCACATCAAGATCAATAAAAAATTATGTCAATATTGACATACCAAAAGTTACTCATTTTATAAATTCATTCAAGTATTAAAATTATTTAAAATCTCTCTATTATATTAATTATTGCTAATTGTTTACTTTTTATTTTAACTACATTTTTAATTATTCATTATCACTTTGTTGAAGAGATTTTAATTATATGCATATTGCTCACAATGTTGATAATACAAGATCTACTATTTTTTCTAAGTTAGAAAATTTCAAAAACATATCTGAAATCTTGACAATGGCAAAATCAAAGAGTGATATAGTAAATTTAATCTCTCCTATACTTTATTCTTCTTATTTAAGTTTTAAACTAATTTTTTAATTAATTTTCAAAATATCGTAATTGGTCATATTATAACTGTGAATGATGTAATGCATAAAAATGGTTGGTATTATATTTCTTGCTCTCATTACAAGAAGAAAGTTTCTTTCACAACTACAAATTTTAAATATGAATAATGTTATAAAGACGTAGAGTATCCAATGACAAGGTAATTAATTTATCACTATGTATTCTAAGTTTTAAATTTTCATATTAAAATAAGTTGAATTATATATTATTACCTTAATTTATATACATTATAGGTTTCGTCTTGAGCTTGATGTTAAAGATTTTATAGATTCAACTATATTTGTCTTATTTGATGAAGTTGTTGAATAATTAGCACAAGTAAAGTTAACAGATCTTATTTCAACACCTACTTATTAACCTATGCAATAAATTTTGAAATGTATAAAGTCATTTTTATATATGTGATTTCATTTACTTATTACTTTATGCATTAAAATTCAAAACGTATAACTTATGAATTGAAATTATATTTATTCATACTTATTTATCTTTGAATTGTATTTAAAGAATTTTTATTAGAATTGATGAATTGTATTTAAAGAATTAATTCAGAACCTATAAAGTCACTCATATTATTGTAAAAGGCTTTGTTATTATTGTAAATTTTAAAAATTCCACAATTCTAGTTGTATATGGAAACAAATTTGTCTTACACCTAAAAACACAAAAAAAATTTGGAAATTATTTTTTGAGTTCGAGATCTAGAAGGGCATATTTCATATCATTTCTTGACGGGCCATCACTAATCTCATAGCTAAGGTTTGCCCATCTTCCAATCATCTTAATTCTTAAATTAGGATTAGGGATCTTATGTTGACAAAAAATAAATTAGGAGTCTTGCATTATCATTCGAAGTCTTATGTGTCGTGTTTCCTCACCTTACAACCATATTATGGGAGTTGAGAGTTCTAACAGATAAAAGAAGAAAAGACAATTTGCATAAATTTCTGTCTACAATGATTCTCAATGATTACATTATATATATAGTCTGTACAAAAGAATTGGTGTGACCTAAAAACTTTTGAGGATAAAGGCATATTCTATACTATCTATTGACAGCTCATTGTTGCTCTAGAATGTTCACTAAAAGGAATAACAAAAATGAAAAAAATAGAAAAGATTCCTCTGCTGTGCTGCCATTCTGTTATGCTAATTATGTGGTGTTTAAACCAGAATTATAAGGCTCTTCTATTAGCCCCCCACAAGCTGGAGGTGCAAAAATGTTTTGTAACTGCAGCTTGGATAAATTCAGCTTGAAGGAATGTGGAGGTAAGGCTTTTGTGAAGATGTCCGTGAGCTGATTAGCAGAAGGAACAGGAAGTAGTGTCATCAAGCCTTTTTGGGATTTCTCACGCACAATGTGACAATCTATATCCAGATGTTTCGTTCTTTCATGAAACACTGGATTGGCAGCAATGTGAAGGGCACTGTTATTGTCACAGTAAAGTAGGGAAATATGAGAAAGGGAAATATGGAGATCTCGAAGCAAGTAAATGATCCATTGTAACTCGCAAGTAGATGAAGCGAGGGCTCTATATTCGACCTGGGAGGATGATCGGGACACGGTGGTTTGTTTCTTGGTTTTCCATGAGACAAGGGAACTTCCAATAAAAAAACAATACACTGTGATTGAACGTCTTAAGTCCACATAGGTGGCCCAATCAGCGTCACTAAAGCCAAAAACTTGAGTAGGATAGATTCTAAGGAAGAAGAGACCTGTACCCGGGTAACCTTTAAGGTAACGAAGAACACGCATAGCTGCAACATGATGAGCTTTGGTGGGCTTCGACATGAATTGGCTCAGCTGTTGTGTTGCAAAAGCAAGATCAGGGTGAGTATTCGTCAAATACACCAATTTGCCAACAAGGCGCCTATATGGCAATGGATCATCAAGATAGTCAGAAGCATCATTGTGAAGCTTAAAAGTACTGTCCATTGGAGTGGAGAAGGGTTTGCATCTAAGCATTCCTGAATCTATAAGCAAGTCTAAGCAGTACTTGCGTTGAC